ACATTGAACACTCATGAAGTATAGATGAGTTGTGGGATGACAAAAAGGACATCATACATGAAGAAAACAAATGTCAATAAAAAGACAGTAAAGGAAAAAAGGAGCAAAATGAATGTCAGAAGAGATTATGAAACTTGATTTTAAACTTGGAAAAGATCAAGCAAATGGAAGAAATGATGAAGTAAAGGAACAGATTTCAAAGGGTGAAATCAAGAAGAAAAAGTAAAATATTATGATGACATGTACAAAGACCTGGAATTATAAAACCCAAAGGAAGAACATTCTCAGTACTATTCAAGTTGAAAGAAGTAAAATAAAATCAAGCCTTGAGTTGCTATATTGAAGGATTCAGTGGGCAAACTACTGAATGCTGCAAGAAGTATCAAAAGATGAAAGGAATACAAAGTTTCTGCACCAAAAAAGACTTTGATGATGTTCAACTGTTTCAGGAGGAATAATCATTTCAAGAATGGATGCTATTGAAGGAAGAAGTCTAAACTGCAATAGAAATATTGGTTTAAAACAAGGTACTAACAATTGGTGGGATACCAGTTCAAATTTTTGTTCAAATGGCTACATTTATGCCAATTAATTTAGAAGACAGTTACCTGACCTACCAACTGGAAGAGAGTCATATCTGTACCCATTCCAAAGAAAATTATGTAGAAATTATTGAATAATATCATTAATATCACATGAAAGTATAATTTTGCTGAAGATAATAAAGAACGGTTGCAGCAGTACATTGACAGACAACCGCCAGAAATTTATGCTGGATTTAGAACAGAACATGGAACAAGAAATGTTATTGTTGGTATCAATGGATCCTAACTGAAAACAAGGGATATCAGAAAGATGTTCCCTTGTATTTTATTAACTATGCAAAGACATCTGTGTAGATCATAACAAATTATGGGTAACATTGGAAAGAATGGGAATTCCAAAGACTTAATTTTGTTCATATGGAGCTTGTCCATAAAACAAGAGATAGTCATTGGATATATATCATTAGAGCATAGTATATGGCTTAAAATCAGGAAACATGTGCATCAGAGTTATATATTTTCACCATATTAACTTAATCTGTATGCCAAACAAATAATTTGAGAAATGGAATTATATGAAGGAGAATGTGACATCAGGACTGAGGAAAAACTATCAATAACATGTGACATGTATTTTACACAACCTTGCTTGCTAAAAAGGAATAGTACTTAAAACACTGACAAAGATCAAAGATAACAGCCCTATGTATCAATTGCTGCTTAACATAAAGGAAACAAAAATCTCCAGAATTTGACTAATAAACAAGGTCATGATAAATAGAGAAAACGTTGAAGTTGCCAAGGATGCATTTTACTTTGATTCACAATTAATGTCCATGGAAGCAACAGACAAGAAATCAAATACCTGTATCATTGAACTAATCTGCTACAAGCAACCTCTTTAGAGTTTAGAGTGTTAAGGAGAAAAGATGTCACCCTTAGGATTAAGATGTGCATGGCACAAGCCAAGGTATTTTCAATCACCTCATATGCATGGGAAAGATGGATAATTAGTATAGAAGACTGAAGAACTTATGCCCTTGAATTATGTTATATTGTTAATGATTATGTTAAGATGATTAAATAAATCATCAAGTGACAGAGTGATGGTTGGTTGTTATGTGCGGTGCAGCTGGTTCCGACTCATAGTGATCCTGTACAGAGTTTCTGAGGCTGTAAATCTTTACAGGCGCCAAAAGCCTCATCTTTGTTCCGCAGAACAGCTGGTAGTTTCGAACTGCTGACTCTGAGGTTTGCAGCCTGATTTGTAATGCTCCCTAGAAGCAAGGATGATGAGATATTATCAAATATGCAGTCAAGATGCATTGATCATTATTGGTGATTGGAATCTGAAAGTTGGAAACAAAGAGAATTATCAGTAGTTGGAAAACATGGCCGTGGTGATAGAAATTATGCTGGATATACTATGATATACTGGAAGTAGCTATCAAGAAACCAAACAAGGTAAGATATTAGGCAAATCTGTTGCAAAAGACCTCTTTAAATTGTTCAGGAGTAAAGATGTCAGTTTGAGGACTAAGGTGCACCTGACTCAAGCCGTGGTATTTTCAATGGCCTCATATGCATGTGAAAGTTGGACAATGAATAAGGAAGACCATAGAAGAATTAATGCATTTGAATTATGGTGTTGGTGAAGAATATTGAAAAAAAAATGTTGCTTAGAAGCGCAGATGGAGAGGGTTTATCTCTGGTACTTTAGACATGTTTTCAGGTGGGACCAGCCCTTGGAAAAGGAAACCATGTTTGGTAAAGTGGAGGATCAGATTAAAAGAGGAAGACCCCAACAAGATGAATTGATACAATGGCATCAACAATGGGCTCAAACATAACACAAAGTGTGATGATGGCTCAGAAGCTGGCAGTAGTTTGTTCTGTTGTACTTAAGGTCACTATTAGTTGGAACTGAGTCGATAGCACCTAACAACAACAATATGAATTTTTCTTGAAACATATTTGTGCCCATTTGATACATATAGTTTGTTCTTTTTTTCTTCCTGTTTTTTTTTCTTCTTCACTGCAGAAGAAAGATGAGGTGTTCAGGCTCCACAAAGATTGATAGCCTCAGAAACCCTATATAGAAACTGACTCAATGGAACTTAACCAAGCAACTCAATTTATTGTTTTTCCAGTTTTTCTTTTTTCTTTTTATTACTTTGTTAATGACAATGTCTTGTCTGTTAAACTCAATTAGATATTTTCTCTCTCTTTTATTTTCTTTTTCAAATGTTATTTTTTGTTTATTTCTCTGGGAATAGAAATTATGTGATTTAGTTTTATTTTGCCTTATTTACCTGTAAAAAAGGTTTTAAAGTCTTCTCATTTATTTTTAGAATATTCTTATTTACTAGCTGGTGTGGTGCTGTAGGATCAGTACCGGACTGTGATCCACAAAATCGATGATTCAAACCCACCAGCTTCTCCTTGGAAGCATTAAGAAGAGTCGTTATGAGTCAGAACAGACTTGATGGCATGTCAAACAACAAATATTTGTATTAACCTTTACATATTTAACTTTCACTTAGCAATAGAAGAAACTGATTCAACAGACTTTTGTATCACAATTTAGGGGAAATTTTAAGTTACTTTTAGAGCCATGCTTGTATGTCTATTACCCCTTGTTCAAGTATTCTTCCTACCTATCACAACTCTTCTTACTTATTCCGTGATTATTGAACATGCTCAACTCATATGTTTCTAGTTAGTACAAGGTAGACTTGCATGACCAATGACCAATGTTACATTTTAAGGATAAGTTTAATCATATTTATTTATGATGGGATAAAATAATTATATTATTGTTCTCTTTTATATGTAAAAGGAATCCAAGTGGCACTATGAGATCAGCATTAGGCTGCTAACTACAAGATTGGTAGTTCAAACTCACCAGCAGCTCTGGGGGAGAAAGATGAGATGTCTACTCATGTAAGGATTCCTGGTGCAGCACTGCAGAATAAACACTGGAACTACTAACCACAAAGTTGGTGGTTCAAACCCACCAGCTGCTCCTTGGAAA